TTAGCTCCTTATCTAATCCGGCGTTTCTCTGCCTGTCGTAATCATCGAATTTGGACCAGTCTGTTTGTCTGACAGGTCTACCGGAGCTCGATCTCAACAGGTATGTCAGCTTGTCCATATCTCTTATTTCTGAGATTTTATCCATCCATTCTTCTGTACTGGGTATGTGATCTGTCTTCCAGTGCCTTGCCAGGACTATTCTTGCGGCGGTGGTAATATATGTCCAGATAATGTCTTCTTCGCTGCTGAGTTTGAAGCCGTCATCTGTTAATCCCAGAACAAAATATTCTGGTTTTATGGGGATTTTCCTACTGAATATCTTTTGGGCCTCACTCTGGACTTTTCTCCAGAATTTTTGTACCCTCGGACACGACCACCACATATGGAAGTACGTTCCCGGGAGGGTCTTACATTTCCAACAGGAATTCTGGTATCTTGCGTACATTTTGCTTAATTTGATAGGTGTTAAGTACCAACGATGGAAAGTTTTTAGCCAATTTTCTTTTAATGCGGTGGCGTACGTGTACTTCAGCTTCTTGTTCCACATTACCTGCCATTCCGTTAAATTTATTGGGCGTCCGATATTTTTGGCCCATAGGGTCATACAGTTTTTAATTTCTTCAGTCTCTGTTTCCCAGGTCAGCAATTGGTTGTATAACTTGGAGATAGTTCTTCTTTCCGTTTTCCAAATTGCTTCCCACGGAGCTCCCTTTTCTTCAAACCCGAGTTTCGAGTCCGCCTTGTATAGTTCTCGGAGATGATGATACTGCAACCATGTCAGTTTCTTAAAGGAGTGCACCAGATCTTCTTGTTGTTTCAGAATCCACACGTTGTCACTCTTGCTTTTGATTAACAGGTCTCCGTACGTCGGCCATTGTTGCCAGCCGAGTAAGCGTCTTTGTTTTGCCTCAAGGGGCGACAGCCATAGGGGAGTTTTGTTGTAAAAGTATTTTTTGTATTTAAGCCAAACTTTTAATAGAGCTGATCTTATAAAATGGTTTCTAAAATTGCTCTCTATTTTTGCCCTGTCGTACCATAGGTACGCGTGCCACCCCACTCTAAGATTGAAACCTTCTAAAGTTAAGATGTTTGCTCTTCTGAGATTAATCCAATCTTTTACCCAGGAGAGGGCACATGCCTCAAAGTAGACTCTCAAACTTGGAAGCCCAAAGCCCCCTCTTTCTTTCCGATCTATCATAATACGTTGTTTCAACCTAGGCTTCTTCCCATTCCAAATGAATTTGGTTATATCTCTATTCCACTGCTCAAAGATTTTGTTGTTACAAATTATCGGTAGATTCTGATATAAGTAGAGTAGTCTGGGCAAGATGTTCATTTTGATCAGACCTATTCTTCCTAGCAGGGAGAGGTTTAACGGTCTCCATTTGGTCAGATCTTCTTTCACCTTTTTCCAGGCCGACTCGTAATTGTTTTGAAACAGCTGAGCGTTTTTGGCCGTGATCCAGATCCCGAGATATTTTATCTTTTTGGCGACAATCAGACCCGATTTCCTTTTCAACTCTTCCTTCATGTCAGCCGACATGTTTTTTGTTAATAGGGTTGTTTTGTTTTTATTTATTTTGAATCCCGAAACCTTACCGTATTTTTCTATCGAGTCCATCCAGCCCTGGATGTTGTTAACCGGATCGTCTATGATGCAGATGACATCATCTGCGTAAGCTCTGATCTTATAATCTTGGTTATCGATCCTCAGGCCTTTAATATTTCTGTCTTCTTTGATTGATTTTAGAAGGGTTTCCAAGGCCATAATGAAGAGGAGCGGGGACAAAGGACATCCTTGTCTGGTACCTTTGGAAATCTTTATAGCTTCCGAGAGTTGGGAATTTATTAACAGTCTTGCCTCTTGTTCTGAATATATAGCCTCGATGGCATTCCTGAAGGCGTATCCGATGTCTATTTCTCCAAGCAGATGTTTCATGAATTTCCAACTTAGGTTGTCGAAAGCTTTTTCGGCATCCAATGATAGCAATGCTAACTTCTTCTGGGTGTTATAATCATAGTACTCTATGGTGTTGATTATAGTTCTTAAGTTGTCTTTAGTACTTCTGCCAGGAAGGAATCCCGCCTGTTCCTCTCCTATCCACGTGACAAGTAGGCCTTTTAGTCTTTTGGCAAGGATGGTTGCGAAAATTTTATAATCCGCATTAAGTAAGGATATTGGTCTAAAATTATGTATGTCAGCTTGCTCAGAGTTTCCTTTCCTGATAAGGACAATTTCTGCTTCCTTCCAGGAGTCTGGAATCTGGCCTGAACTCAAGGCCAGGTTCAAAACCTTTTGGAGGTACGGGAGGAGTTCATCTTTCAGCGTCTTATAAAAGCAGGCCGTGAAGCCATCTGGCCCCGGCGCTTTGTTTGAGGGCTGGCACGCAATTGCCTCCAAGATTTCCTGACATGTAATTTGTTTATTGAGGGCCTCTCTCTGGGCGTCTGTGATTTTTTCTAATTTTAACTTACTTAGGTAGCTTGTGATTTCATTTTCTTGGATGTCATCTTTATTGTAAAGGGCTGCATAGTAGTTCTGAAACTCTTTAATGATATCTTTGTCCTTCGTTAGATAGTGTTCTCCTCTTTGGATTTTCGTGATACGTTGTGCCTGTTTTTTTCCCCTTACTTTCCTAGCCAGCCATTTGCCCGGCTTATTGGCTTGTTCAAATTCTTGTTGTCTGATAAATTTATATTTTTTTTCCAGAGCTTCTAGTTCCAAATGATGTTTCCTTTTTTTGAGCCGCCTCAGATTTTTTTCTATTACTAGGTTATCTGGGTTCCTTTTGAGCTCTTGTTCTTTTTCGTCGATCTGTTTATCCAGCAGGACAGTCTCCCTGTTCTTCTTCTTATTTTTAATTGAGTTCTGCTGAATTAAATATCCCCTCATGACTGCTTTTAATGTGTCCCAGACTACTAAGGGGGAAATATCTGGTGTATCGTTCTGATTTAGAAAGTCTCTCAGCAGCTCTTTGTTTTTCTTTATGTCCGTCTCCGTTTTCAATAAGTTGTCATTTAATCTCCATTTTCTGGCGTCGGGTTTTCTATACAGGTGAAGCTCTAGGGGGCAGTGGTCGGATAATTCCCTAGCTTTTGTGTGTATTTTTTCGATCTTGGGTAGAATTGAGTTGGAGGCCCAAATCATATCTATCCGAGACCAAGATTTAAATCTGGGCGAATAGTACGTAAATTCCTTCATTTCCGGGTAACAATGCCTCCATACATCCTGTAGGTCGAATTCTTCTTTAAATGAGAGAATTTTTTTAGGGAGGAGGGAGCTGTTCCTATTCTTCCTGCAACCTTGGCTTTTGTCCAGGTTCACATTTAGAATACCATTGAAATCTCCCATTACAATTAAGTTGTCGAATTCTGTTTTCCATAGGCTTTCCTTCAGGAAGTCTATGAATTTGCCTTTAGACCCGTTGGGGGCATATATATTACATATTAGTATAGTTTCATTACCCATTTTTATTTTTACTGCAACTATTCTGCCCTCCTGGTCCTTGAAGCAGAGCTCTGCTGGTATATCCTCTGCCACGTAGATGACCACCCCTCTTTTTTTTACTTCAGAAGCTGAATAAAATTCTCTGCCTAACCGCCTTTGCCACAAATAAGTAACATGTCTGCTACAGATGTGAGTCTCTTGCAACGCAATGATTTGATATTTATCTTTATTAAGTTTTTGATATAATCTTTTTCTTTTACTGGCCGAGTTCAGACCATTTACATTTAAATTAAAACATTTTAATTGTTGTTCATACATTGTCATGATTATTTGGCTTTCGGTCCGCTCCCTCTTCCGACTTATCTTTCTCCAGATCCTCGGTCAGTTTTGCAGTCGCGTATCTCTTATCTTCTTTCTTGGCAGGCGAGTCCGGTCTAGGTCTTTTCCTCATATTTCCTGTCTCGTGGGGAGAATCAGTATTTGATTTATCCTTAGAGTCTTTTAGTAATTTCATGAAGTCTTTAGCCTCCTCAATATCTCTTATCCAGTGTCTTTGGCCTTTAAATGTTATCATAAGGCCTTCAGTTCTGTCCCATCTAAATTTGTAATTTTGCCTTTTTAATTCTAAAGTCAGAAATGCATATTTTTTGCGTCTATCCAAGATTTGTTTGGGTAGTTCTTTTAGCACAATTATTTTTTCCCCCTCATATATGAGAGGGGTCTGGTTGGATGTTTTAAGCACTTGATCTCTAATGTGCTTACGCATAAAACGGACCATTACATCTCTTGGCAGCTTATTCTGTTTTGCATAGGTGGATTGAACCCGATGTGTGCGATCTATCTCTGCCTCCATGTCTTTCTCCGGTATATCTACCAGTTTTGCTAGCATCTTAATTATTTTGTCTCGAAGGTTCTCAAGGGATTCTTCCCTTAGATTTCTTAATCTCAGCACATGTTCCAGCTCTCCGTATTGGAGCCTCTCTAGCTCCTTAGATATTCTTTCATTTTTGGCTGCCAGGTCCTCTACTTCCCTCTGTAATTTTCTTTGTTCTTTCCCTATTTTGCTATTTTCTGCCTTATTCTCATTGATCTCAGTAAAGGCCTTGTTGATATCTTTTTTAATTGTTATAATTTCTTCCTTGAATTCTTTTCTTATTAGTTCTAGTTGCGCTTGTTGTTTTATCTGATTCTCTCTAATTGTTGTTAGTTCCTTCTTGTTTTCTTCCTGATTCTCCGTCACTTTCTCTGTTAACTTTTGCAGTTCTTTCAAGATATCCTTCATACTGGGTTCTTCTTTTTTACTGGGTTCTTCTTGGCCTGATCCCCTTCTAACATTACTTTTGGGGTCTTTAATTTCCTTCTCTAGTTTTGTTTTGGGTGTAGTCATGTTAGCTAGACTATTTCTTTATATATTATTTATTTAGCAAAATCTCTCTCATACACTCCTTAAAGGGGCAAAAGTCTGTCCTAACTACACCCGCCCCCCTCCCTCACTCCCTTATTCCCGTGAGTCTCCCCCTCTGCACTCTCCTCCCTTCTAGGGGGGTATCCTATGGTATCCTATGGTATCATTCTAAGGGTGTGCACGGGGGGGTTGGGGGGGAAAGGTGAAATTGAAGACTATAGGAGGGGTAGGGCTAGAAGACCGTCTGTGAAGAAAGAGTTCTTTCGTTGTCTGCCGCAAGCCCTTCGCACTT